AACATCTAGGATACTAATAATAACAGCAACCATATACTTTAATATTTGCAATATAGTGGAAATACCTTACAGTAGTTCATTCTGTAGACAAGTAGGAAACAAGCAGGAAATATTTGGTATGTCTACATTATAATTTTGCTTTGATCATTGTATACCTAAAGACCTATATCCACCACTGTGTGCTTTGTGTGGGTACATGGGTCCACCTATGTCGAGTTCATTGTTTTCTTTAGGCTCCAAATGCTGCCATTTTTCCCCAAATTCTGATTTATTGTCAGTAAAGCTAGCATCAAAACTTAAAATTTGACTTAAACCCAAGTACAGCTAAAGTATGTATATAAAGCGGAATAGCACAACTCAACATTCCTTGCACTCTCAATGTGGGTGTTCAGAATGTACAAAGAGTACTGGAACAAAAACTTCATGAAGGCAACTTGTCTATCACATTGCTTGAAAAAATGTTCATAAATGTGAGTAATCACTACGAACTCCAATTTCTGAAGAGTAGTGCCTGCTAAACTGGACTTTTTTGAAAAATGTGTACTGTTTACAGCATTTACTGACAAGACATTAGATGAAAGCAAGATGTTGAATCATTATACACGCTCTGAGTTTTTTGAAAATGGTAATGTATTCAATTGTTAGCCCTTTGCAAACTGAAAGGTAATTATCTTATCAAGTGTGTTCCTTTGATTTTGCTTATCTCTATTTTTTTGAGATTGACAAGTACCTTGCAACAATTTATAGCTGACCATGCTTCTGCATGTTCCATTCCAGAAAAATTACATAGAGAATACAGGTTTATAACAGCAGGCGAGGAAAAAAATCCTCTTTGGTTTAATCAGATTTTAAAAAGAATAAGTATAATCTATATTTTTAACCATCCTTCCAGATGTAATTAAAAATGGCTAACACAGAGGCAGTGGCATAAGTTAAAATGCTTACAAGAAACATTTACTTAGAACAATGTACTTGTAATATTGTGATGGCTAGAACACTGTATTCTTTAACAAAGGGTGGGATTCTCTTCCACTTACAGGGTAAGTCTAGACTACAGGCTTTTGTCGACAGAAGTTTTGTCGACAGATACTGTCGACAAAGCTTCTGTCGACAAAGAGTGTCTAGACTATATCCAGTTCTGTCGACAAAGCAAGCCGCTTTGTTGACATGACAGTGTAGATGCAAAGGACAGTGTAGATGCAATAACACCTTCTGTCGACAGAACTCTGTCAACAAAAGGCGTTATTCCTCATAGAATGAGGTTTACAGCCATCGACAAAACTGCTGAGTTCTGACATTATGTCGACAGAACTCAGCAGCAGTGTAGATGCAGGTATAGTTTTGTTGTCAAAAGTCCACTTTTGTCAACAAATCCCTGTAGTCTAGAGACACCCACGGTGACGAAAGTCAAGTAAACTAATAGAACATGGGAGGAAGATCAGTGTCTTTAAACAGGGATCTTAAAAAAAGTGATGATACCAGAGGGTTACTCAAGGGTGAAATCAACAGGAGACATATTAAGATCACTAAAGTAAAAGCAACATCAAGATTTGTGTTACCTTTTATTTTTATTGTGTTAAGATTGTCTGATAATTCCAAAATAATGTTCTGAATTTAATCAGTATAACCTGCTGGGCATTGAGTAGGATGGGATGGATGAATAATTACAGATTTTTAGTTCACTTCTCAGAGATTAAACTTGGTGACTTTTACTATACAGTGGGGAAAAATCCTTGATAGTGGTCTTAGAAGAGACCTGTTGCTTCTGATCCACTCACCTAAGCAAAATGAGCTATGCTGGCTGGCAGCAGAAGAAGAGCAGAAGTTTAGCACCACCCCCTTTATTCCCATCCTGTGTGATTTTTCTATTAATAGAGAATGACCTTTAAAAATGTTGAGTGAATATTGTGTATGAATGTACTTCAGTCACACCACTGTTGTTCTCAGTCTCCCATCTCTTCAGATTCCTCTTCAACATTCTAGCTGTCTCATCTCCCTTTTCATTTCTCTGCTGCAGACTTTTCTTCCTCTTCCCCAACTCTTGTTCCTAACTTGATATCTTCCCTCATCCCAGCTTTGCCCCCATTAAGGAATACACATACAATGAGAAAAAATTGAACTAACAAAATATATTGCTACCTTTACTCTGATCTCTTTGGACTAGACAGTGCAGCCTTTACACAAATAGTTTCATCACCACTAGTGAATAAGTGCTATCAATGATCATAAAATCTACCCAGCCCAGTCCTACTCTTGAACCCCATTTTGCATCCCATTCTACTATCCTGTCTGTTTTTATTTTGTCATGTTAGGGTGCATCTACGCAGCAGGGCTTAACTCAAAAAAAAGTTATGCAACTTCAGCTACATCAATTGTGTAGTTTATTTCAAAATAGCTTATTTAAAAATTGTGAGTGTCTACATAGCACTTATGTTGAAATGGAGCACTCTTCCTCTGACTTCCCTTACTCCTCATACAATGAGGGTTACAGCAGTCGGGGTACAGTTAGACAACATCTTTTTTGGGGAAAAAGATACGCAAAATGCACTCCACAGTTTGCATAGCTTTTTCCGATTATTTTGTTGGAAGAGGCTTTTCCATCATTTGGCCCATCTAGACTGGGCCAAATGTTTGAAAAAAAGCCCTCTTTCAGAAGCCTTCTTATTCCTCATGGAACTAGGAATACAGGAGCTTCTGAAAGAGTGCATTTGCTTGTCTGCAAAAAAAAGGCAGAAGAACAAATATGTTCCCTGGACGCAGAACGTTTTTTCTAGACGTGCCCTCAGAAGCCTTCTTATTCCTCATGGAACTAGGAATACAGGAGCTTCTGAAAGAGTGCATTTGCTTGTCTGCAAAAAAAAGGCGGAAGAACAAATATGTTCCCTGGAGGCAGAACGGTTTTTCTAGACTAGGTTGACAGTATTTCAACATTATTTCAAAATAACTGCCTGCTGTGAAGACGTGGGTTAATGTTGCTTTGTAGGCATACCTTTAGTATCTGTATATTCTAGAGTAGGACTGTATCTTTTTATGTTTTTAAGCAACTCCAAGCATAAGATAGAGTTATTTTTTATTTGGGTCTTGGATATTACTACTGCCAGAACACACAATAACATATTAATAATTGACTATTGTCTGAATGAATGTTCTTACTTTTAGAAAAAGTAAATGAGAAAAGCGAAATACTGCTAATTTGGGTTTAATTATCCCAGGTCCATGGGTGAAACATTTTAAGGAAAGAATGGTTGCCGGAGATAAGCAGCCTAAGGAATTACATTTATTAGTACTAATTAATTAGTACTGATAAAACCTTTTCACTTTTCTACAAGACATCTGTGAGATCCAGATTTATTCATACCTGAATTCCTTCCTGAAAGAAAGCTATAAGACAGAATTGCCAGTTTAGCATAATTTACCTTCAATTATAAATTGTCACATGCACAGAAAATTACTATATTTTATATACATATACATTCCTGTTTGCAAACAGCAAATGATATTATGAAGTGTCATGATTTAAAAAAAAATCAAAATAAAAATTATCAGGTTTCAAAGTAAGGTTTCCTTTTCTGTTTTTCTCATTCCAGCCCCTAAAGGTTTCTTTGGGGAAAAAAAAGATTGTTGGAAATGGGGTACAGAATATTTTAAAATAAAAGTAAAATAAATTTACTTTCTTTTCTTCATGGACTTTGAGCAGCATTCAGGGTAAACTTTTTTAAATGAAATGGTTCTTGGAAGTCACACATCTTCAAGCTAAGTCAACTTGTGTGTCAGGCACATTGGGTGAAATTTAGGTCCTAGTGAAGTCAGGGTATGTCTACACTAGCCCCCTAGTTCGAACTAGGGTGGCTAATGTAGGCATTTGAACTTGCAAATGAAGCCCGGGATTTAAATATCCTGGGCTTCATTTGCATGTTCCCGGGCAGGTGCCATTTTTAAATCCCCTTAGTTTGAACTGACTACCCATGGCTACACGCGGCAGTCAGAAGTTAATCTGAAGTAAGACCTTAGTTCAGATTAACTGTTACACCTCATTGCAGGAGGAGTAACAGTTAATCTGAACTAAGGACTTAGTTCGGATTAACTTCTGACTGCCGCGTGTAGCCACGGGCAGTCAGTTCGAACTAAGGGGATTTAAAAATGGCACCTGCCCGGGAACATGCAAATGAAGCCCAGGATATTTAAATCCCGGGCTTCATTTGCAAGTTCAAATGCCTACATTAGCCACCCTAGTTCGAACTAGGGGGCTAGTGTAGACATATCCTCAGTGGCAAAACTCTTATTCACTTCAATGGGGCCAGGATTTTCCCCTTTCTTATAACTCTTTATGGGTATGTCTAAACTGCAGAGTTTTTCCAGGATACCGGAGGTACCCCAGAAAAGCTCTGCTGCATCCAAGGAACACATCTGCTTTTCCGAAAAAAAAGTTGGAAATGTGGAAGCATTTTTTCGGTATCCCTGTAAATCTCATTTTACGAGGAAGCAGGGATGTTCTAAAAGAGAGGTTTTTTTCTGAAATTTGGCCCTGTGTATATGGGCCAAATTTCGAAAAAATCTCTTTTGGAAGTAAATCGGAAAAATATATGTAATTTGCGTACCACAAATGGCATTTCTTTTTCCAATTGATCATTGTAGTCTAGACATAGCCTAAGACAGTCAAATTAACGACCAAGAAGCAAAACTTCATTTAAGTTGGTAGCAGACACTCAGCAGTTAGCTATCTCCACTTTTCCTGTTTTGATTTTTCTTTACTCTGAAAAGATTTAACAATATTACTTTCAAAACCCTGTAAGCACTGAAGAGGAAATATATAATTTTTTTAAAATTTGTTACCAATCTGTTAATCATGCGTCCTTCCTCTTTGAATGATATATCTCCCTACCTTGCCATATTAAACTTTTTCTTCAAAGAGCCATACACAAGTCTATGATTTATCATGATCAATTAGTTTGTACTAAAATGCACAAAACAAAACAATGATTAATATATTCTTATCACAGAACAATAAATGGCCAGGAGTAATGGATCTCCCTTCACCTGGGCCAGAGGAGTCCTTCAGAGCTCTCCCATAGGTAAGCAATGGCCTGAGCCAGGACAATTTTTTTTACTTGTTCAAATTCTGAAATTGTCAGGCAGGGGACATGCATCATTGTGGAGGGCAGTGGTATTGAGCAGTGGGCGCTTGGGGAGAAAGGATGTGGAGGGAAGAAAGGAGGCAGAGGGAGGAGGGACGTGGTGGCAAGGAAGAGAGAAGTTATTGGTAGGATAGGTATCAACCCTTTTCAGTCTCAGCTCTTTTCATTGGTTGGGAGATTACATTTGCCTGCTGAGACCAGGGTTAGGGATTTGGTTCCTTCACCTCTGGGGATACTGGGTCTGCCAGTCTGGTACATAAAGCTGGTACCATCATGCTGCCTGAGTGGAATATTTTGCCTTCTTGGTTCTGTGAGCTGAATGGGGGCTGTTTCTTGTTAAAGCAGCAGCCAGCTTCTATTTTACTGGTATATTCTTTAGCAATTCTTATTCATTGTCTGAGGTGCTTATTTGCTGTTGAGACAAGCAACATAGGAAGCCCTCAGCTGGTTTGAATGAAGAAATGAAAATGAGATGGCAACTTTTGCAGTCTGATTCTACTCATTTTCTTCCTGTCAGGGGGCAAATGCAGCATAGGGTGAGGCCTAACACTGTGTTTGATTATGTGAATAAAGGACAAAGATTTCTCAATTAGCTTAAACTGGTGTTTGTCATTCTGTGTTCCCCAGTATCAATGAGAAGAGTCTGGGGCATTTGCAAACTGCCTGCCTGTCATCCAGTGTTTTCCCCAGGAATTAAGGGAAATCCTGTACTGAATTAGGTGGGTGTTCAAATTTATGGGGCGGGGTGTCAGGGCCGATGAGGGGTGCAGTGGTCAATTGCGGAAGAACTTTGTACGTGTTAGTTTAGAGGTGGTGAGGCCTGCATTCGATGAGCCAGAAGCAAGTCTTTGGGAACATACGCCACTTAAGATAAGCATTGTTGCCAGTATAGCAAGAACAAGTATGAGATAAGGGAAAAGGGCAAGAACACATAAACAATTATGTTTCCCCTAATGTACTGATCATGTAAACAGGGCCAAAGAACAGGAAGATCCAGATCAGAACCAGATCGATAACTAACAGCTAAGTTCTACATCAGCACTAATGAGTAAGCCCTGGAAATTTCCAAATTGCCAAACAAGGCAGGAAAACTATATTTAAGGCTTCCTCAGAGCCTAGGAAATCGGACCTCACCACTGGGCTTTGGGTACCGGTGCCTTGGAAGCTGAGACAACCTCCCACTTCATCCACAGCCTACCCGGGGTCCCAGGCTTGCAGGAAGGGACGTAAGATATGCCGCTTCTTTGTTATGTTGTTCTTCCATTTATGGGGCACAACTGTTAGCAGTCAGGAAATAAACTACTTGTGTTTGACAGATACCTGTGTGGCGTATTTTGTACTTTGGGAACCCAGTGTCAGACCTTAGACTTACTCTGACCAGCTACAAGGGGTGAGACCATGAGGGCGAAGGTGGGCTGTATGGCACCATAGTAAAAACTGAAAAATGTTTCATGACCATTTTATTTGATTTAACTCATGTTTTAAAATCACACAAATTAAAGTTGGCTACTCACGCCTTCTATGAAGCACTACGTCTACATCCTTCTTGGTTTCTTGTTATAATTTTTCATGACTCTGATAATGAACTTCTCAAATGCAATGTGTTCATCTTCGGTGGCTTCTCGTGTGTCTGGTACTTCCATTCCTTCAATTGATATGCTCATTAGTTCATTCACATGATCAGGCAGAAGGAGACTTCTTTCAGAACACAAAATTCTATTCAATGATGAAAAAGAATGCTCAACTGTAGCTGTTGTGACTAGGAGTAGCAAGAGATGAATTCCCACTACTTTCATCCCAGGAAACATAGCACAAAGATCCGGTCAAGCCACTAGTGAAGATAAAAAAGAAGTTGAAGTCAAATCTTCATTAATTCGTTGTATGATATTCAAATATTTCTATCTGTATTCAAATTCTCTATTCTGTCCTGAGCACATGGCAGTCCCATTGCTGGGAGTGCCTCACTCCACTCAAGTGTTGGTGTTTTATAGAACAGGCATCTGTAAAAGCTACATGGAGGTTGAGTAGAATCTAGAAGTTGCTGTTGTAAATTTTTAAGAATCAAGTCTGTGTACTTTTTCAGTTTTCTTCACAAATACTTCTTCTCCTCTTCACTTAAGGTTTCAATATAAATGCCTTCATTAGTAAACTTCTGGTCTGAAATCTTTGCTTCTTCCAGTACTTTTTCAATTGATAGCTCTTTGATTGATCCAAATGTAGCTTTTGTTGCTGGACAAAGATCTACTACTGTTGTAGCAGATTCCTGGATGTCATTGTTTAATGACCCAAGTGGTTTCAACAGTAGATTTACAAGAGAGAGAATGGCAATAGTCTTCTCTGAACATAGTAGCAAAAGTAATACACCAGCCTCACTACTTAAATCCATCCCATCTTGGTAGATACTTTTCAAAGCCAGTAATAACGGCTGGAGTAATTTTAAGACAATAGCCAAGAATCGCTCATAAGAAAGCCAGGTTGGACTAATTTGAACTTCAGTCCCAGTGAATCTTTTATATTTTCCAAGATATTCAGTTTTTTTGGACTCTTGCTGACAAAAGAATATAATGAAGACGTTAAATTTATAGCTTTTTTAATGTCTTTTGATGATTCTGTAGCTCGTACTAGTGCTAGTTGGAGTAGGTGGCCTCTGCAGTATGTATAGGAGAGATTAGGGTCACACTTTTCTCTGAGCAAAGTTTATACTCTACCATGTCTTCCAGAGAAGTTTGCAGCTCCATCAAATGCACAAGCAACCATCTGTTTGGGGGTCCAATTGGCAAGCATTTAACTCTGCTAAGATGTGGGTTGTCACAGTTGCAGCCAATGTGTTTTCTATAACTTGAACATCTATAAATGCTTCTACTGGCCTACCACTGACATCAAGATAACGTACACAATGACTTAATACTTGATGCCCATTTGCATCAGTGCATTCATCAGCCATGTATGCAAATTTTTTTAATGTGGTGAGAGAGTTCTTCACTTTTTCAACTGTTGAGTCTTTCACTGTTGTACCGCATGCTAGTCAGTCAGTTGAGTTTCTTGCAGAAACATAGTGAGCATTTGCTGGCTTTGTTCGCAACCAGTGTTCAACTTCAGGATGAACAAGTGACAATGCACTTAACATTGGCCTCCAGTTTGTAGTGTGTGGTATCGCTTGCTTAAATAGAAAGTATGATGCCACAGCCATGTTTTTTCGCATGAACTGTGTTGTGTCTCCAGCATTCTTAACAGCCTCATTAAGTACTTCTAAAATTGGCTTTGAAAGTGGGCTTATAAGGCTTTCTACATATTGATGCAGTCCAGAAGCCTGGTGTTTTGCTGCCTTTTCACGTAGTTTGTCAGCATTGGCTTTGCTGATCGGTCTGACAAATCAAGCTCCTCCACTTTTACCAGTTATAGCATTGGAAAGATTTCCTTCTTTGTAAGCTTTTTTTGTAAGAGGTGCACCAGTAGCCATCTTTTGTAACTTTAATATATGGGAACACTATATATATATATATATATATGATCAACAAACATTGGAAACTGCCTTTAGGTTTTGGAGACATTGTTTCTTCAGTAGGTAGTTGTATTTGTGCTTCGGGCTGGTCAGATGTAGATACGCTACTTGACTCTTCAGGTGACATGTTGATATATTCTTGCCCAACATCACCAAAATGAATGCACTGACATTATCATAAAAAACAAAGCCATATAAGGATAGTCTATGTTCATACTTTTCAAATCTATTATACTTTTTCAGATGCACATATCTTATCATACACAGTACATACTTTTAAAATGTGTATTAATGTTTCAATTTCAATTCAAATTTCCAAACAATCACTAAATTGGCATGTAACTAGTTCACAAAACTGGGAGGGTTGTTGGAGAAATTTGGGGGGTATATACTCCCATAGCAGGGGTGTAGAGAAATCCCTGCTGTCATCTATGAGGGTATGTAATAAACCTATGACTGACATTTCTTATCAAAAATTTAGTGCTGTCAATTAGGTACCTTCTGCATACCTGTCACATGGTACAAAACATGCTCCATTTTGTTGAGAAAGAAACTGCAGAAAAGTAGAGGGTTTTTTCAAAAATAATTTGCTTGTGTTCAGGGATTTTACTGGAAGGGGACAAGCAAACAGTGAGTGGGAACACAGGATGTGTGGGGAAGAGAGGAGGGCAACAGTGGAAAGGGAATGGAGCCTAGGCTGGGAAGCTACTGCCTCTCCAAGTGGTAGCTTCACCAACCACCCATGTTGATGGGCATTCTATTCTGAAAGAAAGCTTTGCTGAATCCTCTTTCCTGGACTATAAATAAAAAAAACATATCTCCCAACCTTTCCAAATATAGCATCAGAAGCAACTCCTCACAGACCAGGACAAAACAACTCAAAGAGGCATCAGATCCAGATGGAAAACATGCACTCCAGTACTGTAGTGATCAACAGAGCATCAAACCAACCTTTCAGGATCCACAAACCCTTCACATGCCTATCACAACTATTTTGAAATGGCTTATTTCGTCATTTGGTGCTGTCAAAATAAAGCACTATTCCAAAATGCCCCTTATTCCTCGTAGAATGAGGTTTACAGGGACATTGGAATAGTAAGCCCAAAATAGCAGGCTTGCTGTGAAGATATGGGATAGCTATTGCGGGATACTCTGGTTTCCTGAAATAGATTTGCAGTGTTGACATAGCCCAACAGAAGTCAGTCCAATAAAAAATATTACGTCAGCCACCTTGCCTCTCTAATATCCTGGGATCAACATTGCTACAGCAACACTGCATAAACTATTAGCAGAGCTAATATATTGGCACAGGCTATAGATAGGAAAGGATATATTTGAAAAGAAATAAAATATTTTAGAAATGCTGAAGAAAGAGTATTGAGGATGTAAGTGGAGAAGGAAAGATGATCCAAGAGGATACATGGGTAATAATGTCTTGAGACAAGAATTTTGATGATTTTTTAATTAACTGGGGAGATACTTTAATTTGAAGTAGTCATTTTAATTTCACCTGCATTTTCTCTATGGGAGGCCTACTGGAAAATTCCTCAGACCTCAGAGGAAAGTTACTTTGCATCAGAATCTCAGTGGGAGATTTCACAATAGGTCTCTTGTCTTTAAATGACTGTCAATAGCTTTTCTGATTAAATATTCCTATGAAAATTACTCCTTCACATGAGAAGCAGATGGACAAAAAGTTGCATTAGGAGACCTCTGTGACCTATAACTACTTTCATAATAGATAATGATTACAAAAACTGCTGTGTTTCATAAACAATGATAAAATGTGTTATACAGAAAAGATTTATATAGATGCTAATTTTTAAAATGAACTATGGGTAAAGTTTTAAGTCCTGATCTTGTAATTTGCTACAACCAGGAATCACACTGACATGCAAAATTGTTAGATTGGGGGCATAACTCCTGTTACAAAGTACTTATGATCTGAAACTTTTATTTACTCTGATCCATAAACCCAGCTACAGTAAAATAATATTTGAGGGGAAAAGGTGCTATTATTAACAAAGTGTTAGTACTGCATTAGTCTAAATTGTTACTAATATCATCTTTAAACCGATGAATATAGAACTGTAATGCAGCTTTGTTTCCATTGGTATGTTATGTCTTGGAAATTTGATACCAGATAATTCAAGGAAAGACTTTATATATGCATGGGGAAAGAAAAATATAAAATGCATTGCTATAATAATAAATATAATCAACAAAATATGGGCATTAGATATTTATATATAATGGATATACTCAGTTTAACCCTTAAGAACTTCATGGTGAGAACAATAGGACTAGTCTGACATATATGGGTTCACAAGAAAACACAGAGTGCCTTGAGACTTCTCACTTGAAACTTATGGACTCTGTAACACAAATCCTGCATTCAAATGATTGCAAGTCAGTCAAATATCCACAAAGGGATGCACTGCACCCATAGCACGAAATAAGGTATACAATTTGAGCTACACAAATTGTGTAGTTTATTTCAAGTCAATTTTGAAACAGCTTATTTCAAAATTTGGTGCTATCTACACAGCACTTATTTTGAAATAAATCGCTATTCCAAAACATCCCTTACTCCTCATGGAATGAGGTTTACAGGGATGTCAGCATAGCGAGGTTTACAGGGATGTCATTATATTTTGAAATGACGAGACCACTCAAAAGATGAGAAATAGAGCTTTAGTGCAGATGTAGCCAAAGAGAGCAGCAGGGAGT